CGTGTACGATCGTGGGATGTCGAGGGGTTGAGCTGAGATGCAGTCGCAGGGTCACAGCGGCGGTATACGATGATTTGACGTTTGCAGTCAACAAGATGTTGAAGTCAACGTTTAATACATGATGACGTTGTGACAGCTGTGAAGATATTCGCACAGTCGTTGAATACAATTTTAAAGACCTGGAGCAGCAAGAGTTCTTCACACTTCTTCTGCGTGTAGTTTGTGGGAATCAGTGGGAGGTTGATGGTTTTGTCGAGCTGTTATCGTGTCGCAGCGTCGCAGCGGTACTTACCAATCTTTAGTATTCCACCCTCGTGTGTTGTTCCCCCAGCCGCTGTGGTCATTTTGGTTACGGTTACGGTTATGGTTACGGTTACGTTGTGGTGACCTAATGGTTGCTGTTCGAATCTTGCTAATCAACCAGCAGCTGTGGTCATTTCCGTTACTTTTACCATGGCTTTGTTACGATGCCGTGGTATTAGTATATGCTCGAGGTTGGGTTTCCTAGTCTGCTCTGGCCCTTTATGGCAGCAGGCTAGGCTGAGCGGAGGTGTGCTGTTTGTTGCTCGTGGCTTGTCTGTGTTATCTCTTGACTTCTTACGATAGGCAACATCCATCTTAAGCAGCCATGGTCCACGTTGTCTTCAACCTGAGCAATGCTGACAGCCTTGCGTTGGTTTTGACATTGGGTTGGGAATTGAAACGCTAGTGGATATATTTTTTTTTGGCGCGGTCGATCGGGACAGGCTTGCTTGGTTAGACCTCCGGTGCAGAGCTGACTTTGACTTTTATCGGATATCGTTTGGCCGCGTTGGTTTCGACCCCCGGGTGAGAACCAAAGGTGACTTTTATCGGATATCATTTGGGCGCGTTGGTTTCGACCCCCGGTTGAGAACCAACTTCAGTCAATCTCCCGGGCGAGAACCAAAGCTGACTTTTATCGGATATCATTTGGGCGCGTTGGTTTTGACCCCCGGGTGAGAACCAAAGCTGACTTTTATCGTATATCATTTGGGTGCGTTGGTTTTGACCCCCGGGTGAGAACCAACTTCGGGTGAGAACCAACTTCAGTCAATTTCACCAGATATAGTTTTGGCCGGGTCAGTACTCGGACGGACAGAGGCTCGCTTTGGTCTTGACATAGAGGGGAGAGCAGACTTTTTTTCGGATATATGTTTGGCCGGGTGAATGCCAACAACAGAGCTGGCTTTTTTTGGATATACTTTTGGCAGAGTCGATGTCAACATCAGTCTTGATTTGGAGGGGTCTGGCTTCGACCTCCCAAGTGAGAACGGATGGTACCGGATATGGTGCTGTCTGACTCTGTTTGACTCAGACCCCTACAAATCCGAGCTCCAGGGAAGGGGTGGCCGCATTGCGTGGTTCGGAGTTAGGCCTTCGGTGGTAAACCGCGAGGCCTTCAGTGGTTTCACAGTTTGCCTCCTCGTCGTCTCGCTAATGTTCTGCCCCGCCGAGAGGTCTGCTTCGATTTCACACCTTCAGGCTGTGAGAGCTTCAAAGCAGTTGCTCCGATTTTCTGTGTCTGCGATTTGTGCTCAACAGTTGTGTACTCCCTTGGTAGTAAAATTTTCCCTCGTGTTTTGCCTTGGGTTCGACATGCTTTATCGTCAGCAGTTTGTGCTTGGCGGCTTTGATGGCCGCATTTCTGCTCCGTTTCGTTTATGGAAAGCCTGGTTCAAAGCCTGGTCCCGAGTGACCAAAGCCTGGTTCAAAGTGACCGAGACTATGGTTGGTCCCTGCAAAGTGCTGGGGGTTGCCATATCATGGTTCTGGTCTGGTGTGTGTCCTGTACAGCGCCGACAGGTCTGCAGGATCTCAACATCAGGTGGAGCTGTTGGGTGCAGCCATCCTCATCTGTACGTCCCTCCCTGCATTTCACTCTCGTTTCCCCCCCCCGGTTTCGTCCATCATATGGTACAGTACATGCTGTAGCGCTGGACTGCTTGTCCCAAGTATAGTCCCAAGTATGGTCCCAAGTATGGTCCCAAGTATGGTCCGAGTCAGTGGTCCCATCATGGCAGGTGTAGTCTTTGTGGTCCCATCATATCCCAAAATGAGAACAACTAGGATCCTTGTGTGGTCCAAGTGTAGTCCACAGTGAGTCCCGGCACTTGTCGGTATGTGATCCATGTGTGGTCCCGGGCTTTGGTCCCTGTTTCGGTATTGTGATCCATGTGTGGTCCCGGGCTTTGGTA